ACAATTTCAATTCTGAACCATACAATTAAACTTTTCCATGCAGGTAAAGTTACTCCAGCACTTCATTCCCTCCAGTGAGGAATAAAACCAAAACAAAAGAGCCGCAGCTGCCTGCAATGCACAGAGTAACCCTGTGCTCCCATTTCACTGCCTGGGACAGAGGTAGAACTCACCCCTTCGAGACATCAGACGAGTCAGAATCATAAATGATAAGCTGAGAAAGAAAGGTTTGTAGACATCAAAAATTTCAGAACCTGAAAGCACAAGATCACAGATACTTCTAATTATGCAAAAAATGACAGAAAAAGCCCACTGAAAATAAAGGCAGAAGCAAGCATGATAACCACTGTGCATTACTAATAGCCACAGAACAAGGGATTAGAAAGGCTTATTGCCATGAAGGATAATTATTTCAATTGTGTAATACTATTAAAATAGTATAAAACTACTTGAGACGTACTGTGCTCTCAGGTTCTGCTGCTTTTTCTGCTAGTCCTACAAAAGATCCTACGCTGTATGTGTTTCTTCGCTATTTCAAAGAGAGGAGATTGAGGAAAAAAGTTATATTTAATTTTTATTATTTTTTAATTTAAAAACACTCAAGCTATCTATTTAATAGTGGGAAGTGGTTTTTAGTGTAGTACCTTTAGATTGTTACCTACCTCTCTACAAAATGCACCTTGCTATCAGTAAGGTACCATTTCAGCATCCAGGATTTGCACCTGCATGGGAATATAATTATGGGTTTGCAATTCTGATACCCTTCCACCAAGCTGCACAATTTCAAAGCAAAACCCTAAGGAGTAGAACAGACCAGGCAGGATGAGACTGAATCTTCACATTCCCAGGAGAATCATAGAACGGCTTGAGTTGGAAGGGACCTCAAGTATCACCAAGCTCAACCACCCCGCCACAGGCAGGGCCACCAACCTCCACATTTAATACCAGACCAGGCTGCCCAGGGCCAACATTTGTCAGCTTCAGTCAGCTGAAGTCTGGGTTCTTGCTCATATATCTTATGGTCACCAGAAAGTTTCAGAAGAGTGGGGACAGTAATACAATATTTTTGTATTTCTGAAAAGAATCTACCAACCACCCTCATTACTTAGAAGCGTTATAGCTTCTGCTGGGACACTTCCCCAGACTTAGATCCAAAGCACTCTTGTGGCAGTGCTGAGCTCTCCAGAAGGCTGTGACAGGACAAGAGGAGAGTGGTTTTCAACTAAAAGGAAGATGTTGATTAGATATCAGGGAAAATTTATCAACTCAGAGGGTGGTGAAACATTGGCACAAGGCTGTTCGAAGAAGCTGTGGGTGCCCCATCTGTGGAGGTACTCAAGGTGAGTTCGGATGGGCAGTCCAATCTGGTGTGTAGCAACCCTACCTATGGCAGGGGGATGGAACTGGAAGGTCTTTAAGGTCCCTTTTAACCAAAGCCATTCTATGATTCTATGAGGGTAGAAGAGCTGCTTTTACTCACATCGATCCTGATCAGGGCCCAGCAGGCAGCAATAAACACTCTCCTTCTGCTAGTGAGTGGGTCAGCCTTTCAATGCTGTTTGGTGTCACAAGGAAAAAACTACTTTTTAAGAAAACAAAAGCAATCAAGAAATACTGAGCCATATATACTGTAACAAAAAGTATCCTCTGCTGGAGGCAACACAGCAGTCATCAACAGAAGACACTGTAAGACACTTCTCTTCATTTACCAGCTTCCTTACGGAGTTTTCATGGACATGACAAAGGACTGTTAATTCATCTGTAACTCAGATAAAAATTTGCCATTACTGACACAAACATCTAACTGCAGTGGCTGCCATTATTAAACCTTTATTATTTGCTACTGATGCTCCCACATAACGAGACAAATCAGATATAAGCACGTTACTTAAGAAACAAAACTCCCCAAATCAATTATAAATTTATTTAAAAGTTATTATTTACTTATAATACGTAATATATAATATATGGCTCTGGGCAGCCTGGTCTACTGGTTGGCAACCCTGCACATAGCAGGGGGGTTGAAACTAGATGATCACTGTGCTCCTTTTCAACCCAGGCCATTCTATGCTTCCATGATATAAATAAATTCTAATAAGCAACAGCTTAGACTGGGGTCTTATGCTAGCAATGAACAGCACTTCATGGGTATAGCATGTGGGCAGCCTTGGAAGAGCTTTTTGTGCTACAGATGATATTCTGAACCTGGTTCAGAAAGGATTCCTGTTAAAGCCTCTAATGAAGGAAGAAAGTTTTACTACACTTCTCAATACCATACAGCATCATATATAGTTATCTCTGTATAAACACAGTGAGGACTAAAGTAGGTCTCAGGAAAAAAAAAAATTGGGCCCACATAAAGAACTCAGAAGTAGTATCAATAAAATAGAGAATCTCAGAAAACACACGCAGAAGAGGTTAGATGTAGAAGGTTCTAGTTAAATAAACTGTCTACACACAAAAAGTGTGCTTCTAAAGCATCAATGAATCATGAACATCATTTAGATAAAAGTAATCAAACTTTCTTGGGCTTGCTTATATTTGATATATGTAACAAGCAGGATCTTTAGCAGAGTCCAAGGAAAACAGATCATTATTCCATTTTCCTTTTTAAACTGCACCTCACTCTATGAAAATTAGATTCCATACTCATTAGGAGCTTCTAAATGAGTGCTCCTTTGCTGATGCTACGTTTTTTCCTGCCTGTGTCCCAAATTTAGAAACAAATACTTGTACTTTTATGTTTGCAACACAGCAACAACATAAAAGAACTTAAAACTCATCTGCAGCCCATGAGTTATTGCTGTTCCCCAAGACCATAGCTGAGGACAGAAAAAGAAGGACATGCTCCATCAGAAAGGAGATTCTGTTTGTTTCTTTGGACAGCAAAACCTTAGAATTGCCAGTGGCTTGAAGTGCTGGAATTGATCCCAATGAAGACAAATTAGACAGCTGAAAGCAGAGATGATGTTGTATAAGGCATCCGAAAGGGCACTCAGTGCACTGCACTGCTTTGTGTGATGCAAGTCTCCCTACTGTGGATACAGCACATGTGTTAATATTATCTGAACACTCAAGACTGCAAAGAAACCTTTTTTAAAAATAACTTTGCAATGAGGAAATATAAAACAAATGGATCTGCTCAAATGTTTTATTTGCCAAACTTTATTCCTTCTCATCTTCCCACTGTACAGATATGACTGCATTTATCAAATGTCATAAAGACAGCTTATCAATCTTAAAGCCACACAAGTCACAATTCCAACTATATCTTCTCATTTTAGAGGATGAAACAACATGATATTGAAATGAAGGGAGAATAAGCCACAAAAGACATGCCATCTCAAGCAGCAACATATAAATCCAAATGAGAAACATCACTAAATTAATACCAGCCATGAGAAACCACAAAGCAACTAACATGGTGAAAAAAAGCAGCCCACTTGATTAGCTTGATGCTGTTATGCCAGGTTTCCATCAAGCAAAACGTTTAGTTCAGGGTGGGGTTATTTTGCTGGTCAGATGTGTTTTTGTTTTTTGGGGTTTTTCTTTGTAAATCCAAAGCATGATCCACTCTTTCTACATAAAACTACTGCAATCAGATGTAGGCAGCTAATGGCTGATTTTACTACCTTGAGAGCAGCATGTTTTCCCTCTTCCCCTGATTACCCCCAGCACAGAGTCTTGGAAATGGTTTTCTACTCATCAGTCCAACATACAGCTCACACAGTAGAGAAAGATTCCATTATATTAAATCACCAATACACCTCATTCTGATTTTCCACTAGAATGAGCCTTTTGTAAGTAAAGATGAGCTTAATCTGTCTATGTTCCATGACAGCTATGAGCCTGTTCTCAGCTGGAAGCCCTATTGTGTCATTAAGCTTGTTCATGTTCAAGCTTTTAAGATCTCCTCCAAGTTAAACATATCTCAGTCTTCAACACTGGGTAGATTTGCATCTGATGAGGTTGAAACAGGGCAGCCAAGCTTGCCTTTATCTGCAAAAGGCTGGGTAAGTGCATTGTAGCTGAACTTTGTCTCCAAGGCCATGCAAAATTTGGTGATCTTTACACCATATAAATGATTCGAGTCAACACAGCACAAACATGTTTGCCAGGGGCTCAAAAGAGATCAGTAGCTTGCTTGGTAACTGGCCACAAAACAGACTACAAAAAGCAGTGATATTCATAGAACGTTGAATAATCTGAGTTGGGAAGGACCTACAAGGATTGAGTCCAATGGGAGATTTTGCTCTATTCTAGCTCAACCTGGATCTAGCTCAGTGACAAAGACAGAATGAAATGAGTTTAAGCTGTATTCATAACTAGACATTTTAGATAAATATCATAGTGTAGAATTCATATCAAGCCTTTATTGTTGAGGGTAATGCTCAAAACATTTAACATTGTAGTTACTTTTTAGAATAAAACATCATAATTGTATACATATTTGTAAGACTTGCTGTACTGATGTCAGTAGGGAATACTTTTTTTATTCAGTCACTGAATTGTTACTGTACCTAACCTTAAAAAAGCCTTAAAAAAAAAAAAAAAAAAACTGAATATTTTATTCACTCTATTAACTTTCAAAGATACAGCTAGAAAAAAAGAAAAAAAGAAAAAAAAAAAGATTTTCCATTCTGCATTCCTTTCTCCCTCCTCACAAAACCTGGTTTTAGGCCCTGCAAGGTCAAAGAAAACAACAGGGCTTTTAAAGGATCTCTCCCCTTTTCTTTTTTTCTTCAAATATTCCTTTATATATTTTAAATTAGTACAATATATCTAATGTGACAGATTGTTGTCCTATACCCAAAGTGTCAGAGTGCACACATTCACCTGCACTTCAAACAAGAAACAGCAGAATTGGAAGCACATACTTCCTTATACTTATTTTTGTACACCTTCAATAAAATGATAAATGCTTTTTAAGCAGTTAGGACTTCAAAATGCATGGATTATTAAAGACTAATTAAAATACATAAGGATCCAGTCCTACCTACCTTAGATATTTCTGGCTCCACTTGTTGCCTCTTGGGTGTCTCTTTTGATTCAGGTCCTCTTGGAGCACTGCTGTTCTTGGCAGCGGGGGATTCAGCTCCCTCACCTTCAAGTTGCAGATTAATACCTTCAGTGGGGACAGGATGATCAATACCATTTGGATTCAGATTGCAATGGATAGCTGGGAAAAAATACGACAAGGAAAACACTGCTTAGGAAAGAAGAATCCAAACGTTGCAAACAGTTACCACTAAGTACTGGGAAATGCCATATGGGAACAGAGTTATGTCAAACAACAGCAAAAGATCTGTCTGTAGCTTGACACAGATCCAGGGCGAGATATTTGAGGAAGAAAATGAGAGGGAATGTAGCACTATACAAGCCTATTTTATGCAGGCCTCTGTGTCACACTATACCCTACTGGCGCTGCTACAGGGTCTGAGACTCTCAACTTACAGCTTTTACTAGTGTAGGACAATATATTGCCTGTATTTAGCTTTCAGCCATACCTTTTTCCTCTTTTCTAGGCAAGTAAGTTAAAGTTTCTCTATTACATTTTCTGTTAACTACAACATTCATGGTTCCAAACAATGAGGGTCAAGTAAGCAGTGCACAGCAAGTCAGAAAGTCGGTCTCTGCATAGAGTAATGACTTAGCCAGCTGATTATCTCCCCTTCAGCACTTTGTACTGCTGCAAATCACCACCTACACCATCCTAACAAGCACAAGGGATGCACTTTCTAGGAGCACATAATGAGGTGTGGACTAACGACATCAGGATAAGGAAAGCAGACAGAGGGAATGAAAAAAATAAAAATAAAAAAAACAACAAATGAGCGCAAACCATACCACAGAAATGCACTTTTAGAACTACCACAGTAGCTTAATTGTTTTCTGCCTAAAATTTCGCAGTTCCAGCACTCACATAGAGAGCAGCCTTAACAACTTGCTTGGCACATGCAGAGATTTTAAGATGTATAGATCCTAGGGCAACTTCTCCTTCATTAGATTGCTGTATTTCTATTCTGTATTTCTGTGCACTGCTCCTAGCACAGCTGGTAATTAATAGCCCAAACTTCCCCTGCAATAGAAGAGCTTTGCTCACATAGATCAAATAGAAACCCAAAAAAACAATGTAAAGCCAAAATAAAAGCTGCCCTTTCACTCTTGCTTGGCTTAGGTGTAAAGGGTGGAGAGCAGGGGAAGGAATGAGAGCTGCGAGCTCTGGCAGCTATGCATGTGATCAGCCCCAAAAGCCTCCTGCAGAAAACAGGCTCCAGCAGCCTCAGAATGGGTAAAGGGCCCTTCAGCTACAGTGCCTTGTGAATATCCATTACTCAAATCCCAGAGTCTTAATTGAAAGCACTAAATAATAGAAATTCCTTGGTGTAGAATTAAAGGAAACCCAAAGGGTCAAAAATTTGCCTTTTTTCTTTGGGCTTTTCAGAAACAGTGAAAGATTTGTACAGGGACCACAATAAGTACATCTGTAAGTTAAGGATCAAAATATCTCCTACCTTCAAGTCAAGGAAACAGCTCAGGGTTGCATGATTAGATTGTGGTTGGACTTGATAATCTTTAAGATCTTTTCCAACCTGAGCAAGTCTATGATTCTATAATTCTATGAAGGGTAATTCATTAATGACAGTGAGTGGTAGAAAGCAGTAAAGAACTGTAATGTTTTATTACAAATTGCAGGCATTATTTCTAAAAGAGAAAAAAAAGAAATCTGTCACTGGCCAATAGAAAACCAGTAAATTACAGTGGAACTAAATTCCACCCTTACTGTGAGTGGCTGTAAGGGAACCTAAAAGCATGGAAAGGAAGAAGGATGTGCAGCTGTCATTTGTTCATACCTGCCATCATTCCCTATCATTCCAGCAGGCCAGGCATTTGCAGTTTCTTCACAGAGCTGTTACAACACCCAAGTTTCCCAAGCCAACTCTAAGTTGGCTCTTCCCTAATTCTACCTAGAGCTCTTTCATTTGAAAGTCTTTCTTCTCTCATTCAGTCCAGTGCTGAAGGCAAAGCCAAAGCAAGTCTCCTCATTCTGGCCTTGCCTCTCATCAGTGAGGAAGGAGAGCAGATGACTGCCTTCAAGTCACTCCTTTCTTCCCACAGCTTTTCTCAGCCACACCACTGAGTCATACCAAAACATCAACACTCAAAACTCAACAACCTTAGTAGAAGCATTTCCTAACTTTTGAGTCTTGTATTTCTGGCCACATGTCATACTAACCCCTTCCCAGATTTTGCTTTTATCGTTGGTTACAGGACTAGAATGGAGCTAAACTTGATAACAGCTGCTTGATTTTTCCCTTGCAGAACCTCTTTCTGCGTCAGGAAAAAAAAACAAAAACAAATTCCTTTTATATTCTGCAGTGAAGCTGACAGGCTTCACTTGCTTTGGCTGCACAGCCCTTGTGGGGAGGTATCATGAACCTGCCCAGCTGCTCTTCAGCAATTTTAAGTTCCCAAGGGAGGTTTCAAGAAGATTCCTTGTGGCTTACAATTATATTACTGTGTGTCTACAGATACCAAAAAATTCCCTCTCTCCTAGACCACACTCACCTGCAATTATTTTTTTCTAGAGCATATTTGCTTACCTGAAAGAAAAAAGTAATTACCACAGAAAAGATAGACATGAGCCATCAAGACAGGTTTTTCCACAGCCCAATGTATATGGAAGCAGTTCTGTTAGCAGTCAGATCTCAGACCACAGTTCCCAACCTTCACCAAAACTAAGAGGTATTCTAACCACCCTGTAGAAGAGCAGGGGCTAAAAGCTAGATATGGAAGACACTCGGTAAGGAATTGCATCCATAAAGTAACCAAACTGTCTTCTGCAAGAATCTTGCCCAGCTGAATACGAGGACTTCTGTATCTTTGGAACACCTCAACAGCACCCACAAACACACAGCATCCATCTGTCAGCCCCCTTTCTCACCACTGAGAAATCAGAAAGCACAGCAGTCTTTCATTCCAGCTGGAAGATCACTCCAGCAGCAAGCTTTCTGTGAACTGCTCATCCCTTCCCAGTGGGCTCTGGACAATACACACTGGGGAGGAAGGTGGGATGAACTAGAAAGCCTTCTAGGTCACAGCACTGATTCACTGTGATTACAGGGAACAAATGATCCAGATTTTTGATAACATGGTATCATCACCTGGATGGCTTAAGAAATACATGAATCAGGCAGCAAGGTGCTGCTTGACTCTTAGCTTGTTATTCTTTCAGGAGTAACAAATGTTTGTGCTGTTACAGCAGTGCTTTATATTGTGCTCCTTCAGGATACAGGAGGAAAAAATAAATCGGAGAGGCTGCTGGTAAATACATACACCCCCATTATCTTTTTACTGAAAAGAGTTGATTGTTTAAAAGCAGCATGGACTGCCTCAGAAAAGATTTGTTTCCTAGCTACTGATATCAGGTTGGGAGAAAACAATAACTCTCTTTTCTTTTCTTTTCTTTTGCAGGGGGAGAAGGAAAGAGCTCATCTCTTTCTTCCTTTCTTTCCCCCTCATTGCAGCCTTGGCTTACCTCTAAGCCTAGGCTAGCTGCATTCCTTCAGGAGGGCACAGCAGAGCCTCAGCACAGGGAGAAGGCCAACACAAAAGGAACAACTGCATTGTGAGAAATAAGAATAAGCATCATTCCAGTCAGTTGGCAAAGCTAATATCTCTTTGTCATGAGCCACTGACAGGTAGTCAGCTCAATTGAGCCTTTTCCAGCATAAACTCCAACTCTCAGCTACGCAGAAGAAGGGAAGTTGCTTGCATGGTGTTATTCCTGTTACTGCATAGAAATTCCATATATCCAGCTCTACAGCAAGCAGAGGTGGAACTTTTCTCTCTTTAAATGTGCAGTTCAAATCATAATTGCTCTTTTAAAACTTGTTAAAAGCAGGGAAAAAGGTCAAGGCTTCATCAGTAAAAACATGCCCTCTACTTAAACTAGCATCTGATATAATTTCAGCTAGATAAGGCCAGCTCTAAACATCAAGATTGGCTATACAGAGGTACAGGAGGGCTGACAGCTATGAGGCTTGACTTGTAGGACTGAACTGAGCAGCTCTTACAGAGATCTCAATTCATTAACTTTATCACAACTGAACTTCTCTCATCTCAGCTGACTCTTGTTAATTGTAAAGCTCATCTCTTCTGGGAATTAACATTCATCTGAAAAAAAAAAGATTCTCTTTAAATAAAGACAAAGGAATTTCTTGCTAAAACGCTTCTCCAGACTCTTACCTGTCCTCCTCCTGGTCTTGGCTAATGTTAGATCATCCCACCTACCACATTCAGGTCACTTCCCCATGCCACTGCCTTGACAATAACCTTACAGCCTCAGAACTTCCCTCTGATGGATCGAACCCACTTCAGCACTCCCAGATAACAAAAGTCTACAGAGACTTCTACTTCCACATCACTATGAGCCTAACACTGCATCAGCAGTATCATCATGTTTTGAAGTAGAACATCTTCCAGTATTCTTCCATACATCATCCATATGTTTCAGAAATACAATTCATCATCCAGTTTCAAGTCACTGAAGCTCTCCTTTCCCCTTATGCCCACCAGTTAGCCCTATTCTGAAAACCCCATCTAACAGCTAATCAGGTTTCCCAACAATTATTACTTCATGTGGATTGAAAGCTTTCTGTGGTGGGAACTTATTACTATTGAGGAGAAAGGCTGGGTGTTCTGTGCAGCCCAGCAACAGGCACATGATGAATGGCGTTGGCATACAATGACACAGATCTACAGATAACATTTAGAAAAAAACTGCCTATTATTTAAAACAAAGGTACTTAAGTGCTCTTGTAAGCCTAGCTCAATAGTAGAGCTGAATCTACAGGAAAATAGCCTTTTTTCCAATAACTTTGAAGGAAAGACTGCTTAGATCTGCCAAGTTATGAGAAGCAGAAACTGTGAGATAACAGCAGATTGGGCACCCAAAAATGAGGAAATGACCACATCTGCCCCCAAAAAAACTACGAAAGGAAATGAATAAATCCAACACTGTTTTCTCACACACTAGAACACAAACCCAAGTCCTTTCTGTGCAGACAGAGCAGGCAAATTCATTGCCCTAAAGAAGCTGCTACATGAGCAGAGCTCTGCACCCACACAGAGCCCTCAGTGCATGCATACGCAGCTCTAAGAGAGCTTGCAGGGCAC